CCTGCTGCATCACTTGGGGTCTTAATCCAGACTTCTGAAGATGCCCTGCTGGGGGAGCGGGGATTCTGAGGCAAGACCTCCATCTGTGGCTAAGGAGTAAGGTTTTCTGAAAGGTGGATGGAGATTTGCCCAGTGGAGTTCTGAAGAAGCTGGTGCTCCTGGAGAGAAGCATTAACCCGAGGAAGGGAGGCAAGATCAGATTCTAGGAACAGCGTTCTACTGCCCCCAACATCCCAATAGGAGGGAAGCCCTTCAATTTAGGGTTTTCTCTATTTATTCATTAGAACAAGACTGAGTGTGTGTGTGTGTGTGTGTGTGTGTGTGTTGGGGGAGAATGCAGAACCAGCCACCACCTTGCCACATCCTCCATTCTATCCTGCTGTGATAAGCAGGAAACCAGTTCCCCAAAACGTCCTTGTTCTAATCCCTGGAACCTGTGAATATGTTATGTTACATGGCAAAAGGGAATTAAGGTCACAGACGGAATTGTTTGCTAATCTGCTGACTTTAAACCGGGGAAATTATCCTGGCTTATCCAGGTAGGCTGAATGTGATCACAAGGGTGGGGAGGGAGGCAGACGAGGGAGAACCTGAGAGATGGAAACAAGAGATGGACTTGGCCTGAAAGTTGTTGGCTTTGATGATGGAGGGAGGGTCATGAGCCAAGGAAAGTGGTTGGCCTCTAGAAGCTGGGAAAGGCAAGGAAACAGATTCTCCTCTAGAGCCTCCAGAAAAGAATGCAGCCTTGCTGACACCTTGATTTTAGCCCAGTGAGACCCACGTTGGACTTCTACTATACAGAACTGTGAGGTGATAGGTTTGTGCTGTGTTAAGCTGCTACATTTGTGGTGATTTGTTACAGTAACAACAGGAAATAAAGACACCAGGCCACTTGGAGGGGCCACGTGTAGGTGCGATCCCAGCTCACTGTCAGCATCAACCTCCAGACTTGTGAGGTGACTCCAGTCACTCTAGTCTTCAGGTTTCCCAACTGAGGCCCCAGAGAGGGGCTGTACCTGGTCTGCCCTGCCCGAATTCCTGACTCACAAAATCTAGAAGCATAATAAAATGATTGTTTTTATGCCACTAAGCTTTGGGGTTGGTTCGTTAGGCAGCATAGTAACTGGAACGGCGACTATCCTAGCCTTGAACTTGAACCAGATGGAACTGGGGAAAATTGCATATATTACTGAACCCAGAGCTCCCATCCCATCATTATTATTATTTTTTTTAGAAGATTTTATTTATTTATTTGACAGAGACACAGCGAGAGAGGGAACACAAGCAGGGGGAGTGGGAGAGGGAGAAGCAGGCTCCCCGCTGAGCAGGGAACCCAACGCAGGGCTCGATCCCAGGACCCTGGGATCATGACCTGAGCCGAAGGCAGATGCTTAATGACTGAGCCACCCAGGCGCCCCTCATTAGTATTATTTTTAACTGAACCCTGATCTGAACAGAAGGGAACACTACTGAAATTGAAACTGAACCTGTATATTTTTTCAAGCTGTTGAACGAGAATATTCAAATATTCTTGAGACAGAGACAGTCACGTGGAGAATTCTACCCTAACGTCTTCACTCTGTATATTTTGATTTGCCTAAAGCCACATGGTCGTGGCAGAACTGAGAGATTCTTAGTCTTTATAAAGCAGCCAGCTGAGATGCTCTTTATCCTCCTTCAGAGCACACACCCTTGTCAAAGTTTGCTGAATAAAGGGAGGCTTGAGCTGCCCCTAGGAGATGGGAATTTCCCACCATCCAAGGACAAGCAGTGTGAGCCTGAAACTGATTACGTGGCGGGGGGTGGGGGGTCCCTGAGTGGAAGCTTCGTGCCCTTTGGCTGAGAAACTGGAACTTTCCATCGAGGCCAGTGATCCTCAGTAGTCAAGCAGCCTGGCTGGGGTGTGCTGGGTTCCAGGTGGCCTTCATCTCATCTGGATCAGGCCAACACAGGAGGGACTCTGAAGAGACGGGGGGCCCCTCGGGAGACATTCATCTTTCCAGAGCTTTATAATTTTTTCCATAACAGTACTCTCCCTTCAAGGTGGAAAGTCCCAGCTGGCGGCTGAGGATCCTCTCAATGTGTTTTTGTTTTCCACCCTGCCCCCAGTCCAGGCAGCGGGGTGCTGGGCAAAGTCCCCTTCTCTTTTATACCAGCCTGCTCCAGACTTGCTGTACTGACAGGTGGTGTAATGTAGCCCTTAACAAACCACAGGACTAGACGTCCATGGTTCGAATCCTGGCTCTGCTATTTGCTAATTGTGCAACCTTGGCAGGGGTTCTGGACCTTTCTGAGTTATGGTTCTCCATCTGAAAACTGGCATGGTGATAATATGACCAGTCTTGAGGATTTAATATACGAAGAGCACTTAGAACGGTACCCAATACATAGTAAGAGTGATGTAATTGCTTGCTGTTATTACATGCCTTTGGACAATTCCTCTCCTTTCTCTGGGCCTCAGTTTCCCCAACTGTACAATGAAGAAAGCAGTTACAACCTGACCTGAGTGCAAATTCTGACGACCCTTTCTAGGACAGTTTTCTTGGGTTTTCTTAGCCTCAATCTGTTAATCTGCTCATCTGTTAAATGGCAGTTATTAAGTAGATGGGTGCGGTGATAATTAGATGAGAAAATGTATACCAAGCATGTAGCATGGGACCTAGCACATAAAAAGAGCTAAAACAGCAGTTTTGTTTTGTTTTAATGGATGAGAAAGAACTTTCTAAACTATAATGGGCCATGTCCCTGGGAGGAGTATTGTGGTTTTGTCACATGATTTCCCAGCTATGCCTTATCCACAGACTGCTAGAATCAGAGAGGTCAGGATTGGAGGGGCCATTTTACAGATCACTTAATCAATCCAGTCAACAGATATTTACTGATCACCTACTATGAGCCAGGCACTGTTGTAGGTGCTGGGGAGAGAGCAGCACCAAGGGCCCTACCTTCATAGGGCTTTTATTCCTCTGGGGGAGATAGACAGTAAGTGGGTGAGTCCATGAATAGATGATACAAGTTCACATTCAATCCCTTTATTTTACAGATGGGAAAACTGAGGCCTAAGAGGGGAAGAGATTTTCCTAAAGTCCTCCAGTGTCATAGCAGGGCAAAAACTTCCAAGCAAGTCTTCACAGTCCCAGAATATCCTACCCTTAACAAGGCCTGGTTTCCTCAAGGTCTTAAGATATGCTATTGGAAACCAACATTTACTGAATCTTTCTAGACACAGGAACTGTTTTAAGTATTTTACACATCTTAAATCATTTATCTTTTTTATAGATTTTATTTATTAGAGAGAAAGCGCATGGGGAGGGGTGCAGGGAGGGTGAGAGGGAGAGAGAGAAGCAGACTCCCCACTGAGCAGGGAGCTCAACTTGGGGCTCGATCCCAGGACCCTGAGATTATGACCTGAGCCGAAGGCAGACGCCTAACGCCTGAGCCACCCAGGTGCCCAACATCCTAAGTCATTTAATCCTCACATCAACCCTGAGGGAGGGAATTGCCATGAATCCTATCTTATAGATGGGGGAGCTAAGAAACAGAGAGGTGGAGCATTGAACACAGACCCTCTGGTTCAGGGCCCATGACCTACCTCAACCACTGAGTTGTCCTACCATCCTGGCTGCATGCTCTTCCTTCCCCCTGACCCTGGTCTGTGCTCTTTCCTTCTTTCTTTCCTCCCCTTCCATTCCCAGTCCTGGTCTCAAGGACTTCTTCCACACTCTGAGTAGCCTGGGGTAAGCCCCCCCCCCCCGCCCCGGTTCTCAGTTTCCCCATTTGTGGACTTTGAGGATTGCACTGGATTATCCTCAGGGCCTTCCATGACCACCCTGATTTTCAGCCCCTTATCAGTTTGTAATCATTTTATTCGCTTGTTTTCTAGTCTGCTTTCCCCACCAGATGGGGGGACTCCAGGGAGCAGCATCCTACTGCTTCTGTTCACTTCTATCTCCCTAGAGCCTGGCACTGTGCCCTGCACTTAGTACGCCCTCAATAAATATTTGTGGGTGAAGAAAGGAAGGAATGACAGCGATTACCTGCAGTTTTCTCAAAGCCAGCTCCTGTGCTCTTTCCCTGGCCCCTCTTCCTTTCTCAGCCTGTGGGCCCCCCTCCTTCCCTCCCTCCCTCTCACCTCCCAGGGCCAACTCAGGCCCTCCATCCGGCCTGCATTTTTCCGGGTTTGATATCATTTTTTCCACTCTCCGGCTGCTGCTGGCTGCCTCTGCCAACTTTCCACAACTATAGCCCCTCCCCCACGACCGCAGGCCAGAGCCAGCTTGGGGTGGGGGAAGACCCTCCTCCTCCTCCCTTCCCCAAGCTGGGGTTAGGATGGGGAAATAAGTACCATCAGTGCCCTGCTGGCAAGATTGGGGGCTTGAAGACAGAGGATATGGCTCATCTGCGCAAGCTCCAGTCTTCTTTGGCACTGTGTTCTTGGTGGCCGAAGCATGTGGGCAGGCAGCTGGTTGGGGGCAGGGGTGTCTGGCCAGAGGGACATGATGGTCCAAACCATTTGCATCTTGTTCTCCTCTCAAAGTCGTGAGAGGCCCCTTTCCCCTTCAGCTGGAAACTCCTGACCTGACCCCTAAGGCCCAGCCCTAGCCCCACAGCCCCAGCCAGGCTGGATGCCTCACTACCTCCTCCTTCCTGCACAGACAGAGGAGGAGGCTGGGCCCCGGGGTCTAGTCCTCACCCTCACCGGCTGGGTGACCCTGGGATGCTCACTTCCCCTCTATGGGCTTCAGTTTCCACATTCAGAAAAATGAATGAGATGGATTAAATCAGGTATCTGTCTTGGGGATTAGTGGATTGAGTTTCATGGAGGCAAGCATCCCCCTCCACTTTAAATTGTAAGCAAACTTGTGTTTGAAAGTCCATTTCCCTGGGACTCTATAGCTTTTTGTCACATTCTCCAAGAGGATTGTGGATAGGGCACAGACTCTAGCCTGACAAGCCGGGGTTGGAATCCTGACAACTTCACTTATAGTAGCTATATGATCTTTTTTTTTTTTTTAAGATTTTATTTATTTATTTATTTGAGAGAGAGAATGAGAGAGAGAGAGAGAGAGAGAGCATGAGATGGGGGAGGGTCAGAGGGAGAAGCAGACTCCCCGACGAGCAGGGAGCCCGATGCGGGACTCGATCCCGGGACTCCAGGATCATGACCTGAGCCGAAGGCAGTCGCTTAACCAACTGAGCCACCCAGGCGCCCCATAGTAGCTATATGATCTTGAGTATGAACCTTCACCATCCTGTGCCTCTATTTTTCTAATAGAGGTATACAGGGTTTGCGAAGATTAATTACTAGTTGTGACAGCTTAAACCACAGCTCCTAACAAACAAAAGCTACTATATTGTGAGGATCAATGCTGAGATTCCTTCCAGATAAGACTTTATGAATCTATAATCTGAAAAACGGACTTATGAGAAAATAGGAGGTCATCATACTGAATTGTGGTTGTCTGTGCACCACTGGGTCTCCCTCAAAGACCGGCGCCAGGGGCCATGCCCAGTGGTTGGGAGAAGGGCCTGAACACACAACTGGTCCAGTGATTTTATTGACTGACCTTGACCCAGGTCAGCAGACTAACCCGGTCTGCAGCCAGTGTAGATGGGACAGTGGGAGGTGGAGACACCTGGCAGAGTCCAAAAGAAGAGGTCTGGGCATTCAGACTGGACACCCTTCTGGTCTGGTTTATTGTGGGGAGTTGGCCAGAGCCCAGGCACAAGGAAGATTTTTACAAAAAGGCTCGCACCGTGTAAAAAAACAAAACAAAACAAAACAAAACAAAACAAAAACCCCTACTCTGTGTCCAGCTTGGGGCTTCGGCCCCATAGTCCGTCCACTGCTTCCCCGGGGCGGAGGGGTCCCTGAAGCTGCGGCTCCGGGAGATGCTCTGGCCCTCGGGACAGCGGGCAGGCACGGCCCACTGTGCAGACTCCGGGCAACTACGTCGTGGCCCCTCGAAGGTATCGGTGGAGCTCAGAATGCAGCCCAGTGTTCCGCCAGCCCTAGGGGGGCGGGCGGCTTCAGAGCACGGCCAGGTTGTGGCAGGACTTGGAGCGGGCCTTGAGTGCCCGACGGCGGGCGCTGCGGGCCGTCAGGCGGGCCAGGAAGCGAAGCGCCCGCTGGCCGAGGCTCGCCCGCCTTCGGGGCGCAGACGGCTCCGGGGCCGCGCTGTCTCGGCGGCGCAAGCGCAGTTGCCGCACCACGCCCTCGAAGAGCTCGGCCACGTTGTGCTGCAGCGTGGCCGACGTCTCGATGAACTTGCAGTCAAACACCACCGCGCAGGCGCGGCCCTCTGAGGGGCGGGGTCAGGCAGGCCCGGTAGAGGGGGACATAAAGGTGGGAAGAGGTGTGTTGAGTCTCAAGCTAAGCGCTTTTTCTTTCGGTCCTATCTTGTGCTGGGCGCCAGGGGACTCCGAGGTAAATGAGACCTGGCTCTGCGGAGTTAGTTCACAGGCTAGTGACTGATACTGGTAGCAGAACGAGGCTGGGAAGACAGGAAGGCTGGGAAGGGGCTTGAATGCCAGGTAAGGGGTCTGAGCTGTGCATCAGGATTATCTGGGGGAGCTTGTTAAAATGCAGATTCTTGAGCCCACCAGCAAAAAATCTGATTCGGTAGGTTTGGGACGAGGTCTCTGAACCAGCGCTGTAACAAAATCTCCTGGGGATTATGTTGGGGAGTGTGGGGCTGTCTGCTCACAAAGCATATGGTCTTCCATCTTCAGGAAGCCACTGGGCTGGGAGACAGGGGCCTGGGTTCTAGTCCTTAGAGGCTGGTGACCCCGTGGAACTGGCTTACCCTCTCTGGCTCTCAGTTTCCATAAACTTTATATTTTGCCCGTGAGACGGGCCATTTTGAGATCTTTATGGGTCCCACATGATATTATCAAATTTATTGAAATATTCCTTATCCCACTTTGAATACAAATTATATATAACTAAATGTTTTGGTTTGTAGTTGTCAGCTGCCACAATATTGGGTTTTGTAGATGACTCAAACTTTGTGAAATTTTAATTTCCAATTTTCTCACTGTGTTTCGGAGCTAATAGTTTCAGATCCCAGACATAAGCCCTTGGAAAGCTTGTACGCGCTGGGCCTATGATGCCCAGTGGATAAAGTGTCTCTGACTAAGGGCATGGGAGAGCCATAGGGGAATTTTTAAGCAAAGGAGTGACAAGGTCATATCTGGTTTTGGAAAACTCTGACAGCTGGCGAGGAAAACTGATTGAATGGGGAGAGAGAAGTACAGGGGCTGGCCCAGGCTAAGGTAGAGATGCCAGGATGGGGCAGAGGTTGTGGGCACAGGGGGAAGGGAAGGTGGGGTTAAGGGAGGTGGACCTGACAGGATTTGGGGGCTGGTTTGGGGGAGTGGGAGAGGAAGCAAGAATAGTTCCTAGCTTTCAGGCTTAGGCGTGTAGGTGTGTGATGGGGGCGGGGTGGGGTGACAGTCCCTGAGATGGAGAGCACTGGAGGAGGAGCAGTGACGGCAGGTTGAGAGGAAGCTGGAGGAGGAGGAGGGAGTAGAGAGGGCTCACCTTCCACAGAGACTTCCCGGCAGCGTGCCAGGTCGGCCTTGTTGCCCACCAGGATGATGGGCACGTGGTCCGCCTGATGCGTGCGCCGCAGCTGAATGCGGAGCTCAGAGGCACTCTCGAAGCTGCTTCTGTCCGCGATGGAGTACACAATGATGTAGGCGCTGCCCACCTGCAAGCATGACTCTTGGCTCCAGCTTTCATCCTGCAACAGAGCGACCCAGGCCCATTCTCCAAGGGTACCTACGTCTCAGCCAGACGGCTCTGGCTGAGAAAGGTAGGGCTGGGATGGTCCGAAGGGTGGGCTGGGGCTGAGGCTTATACTTTGGACAGGTTTGGGGGACAAATTCTGCCATTATTCTGTGTCACCTTGGGTAAACCACCAGTCTTCCCTGAGCCTTAGTTTCTCTGTGTGAAAAACTGGGCTAATAACACCTCACTACATTTTCTCACTTGTTGATTGCTTCTGTAGGCCGGGCACTGGAGACAAAAGATTTCTTTGGTTCCCCCTCGTGCTAAGGAGGGTTGAGCTCTTAGTTTCTGAGGAGGTCTCAGTCTTGCTAGACAGTTCTTGTGGCCTTCTGCAGTCCAATTAAGAGACAAAAGGGGGGGCGGGGCACCTGCGTGGCTTGGTGGGTTAAGCATCTGACTCTTGATTTCGGCTCAAGTCATGGTCTCAGGGTTATGGGATCAAGCCCCACATCGGGCTCCATGCTCAGTGTGGAGTCTGCTTGAGATTCTCTCTCTCCCGTTCCCTCTGCCCCTCCCGCACTCACTATGTCTCTTTCTCTCTAAAGAAATAAATAAACAAAATCTTTTAAAAAGAGAGGCAAAAGGAAGGGAGAGAAGAGAGAAGGGAAGCTAACTTCAAGGGGAGGCATTTTCAGGCCAGCGTTGAAGAGAGAAGTGAAGGAGCAACTGTGGAGTGTAGTAGGTATAAGGGAAGGGGTGGAGAGGTGGGGCACTTTAAGAAGCAGAGTCTTTGCAAGTTGTTTGACAAGGAAGGGAAGAACTGGAGCAATTTTGATATGCCATTTGGGTGGCAATCTTGTGTCAGGGACAGCATGCTGAGACTGGACCATCTGGGTAACAACTTCACAAGTGTTTAGTAAGACACGGTTCCTATCTTCCAAAAGCTCATGGTCTGGAAGGGACACTATGGAAGTCGAGAGTTCTGATGCCCTGTCATAAATACCATTAAGAGGCAGGAGCACGTGGCTGGAGGAGCCATGGGGGATGAGGGGAGGAGGTCAGAAGAACTCAGCCAGGCAGAGTGTGGGGAGGGCTTAAGAGCGGACTGGAGAGTGGGGTTTGAGAGGATGAACAGGAGAGGAGAGTAGGCCAGGGGTAGGAAATACTGAGTGGTGGAGGCACTGTTTTTGAGAGGGGAAGAAGCCAGAAGAATTTTCTGATAACCCAATAAGATAGATGACTATGAAAGCATCAGATCGATGGTCAACACACTGTCAAAGGGATTAAGTTCCCAACAGCCTTTCTGATCCTTCCCCAGGCCAAATAGCCATGGGCTGAGTCAGATGCATGTGAATTCTTAACCTTACTATGGACAGGTTCCTTCCTCCCTCTGGGTCTCAGTTTCCCCATCTGTAGAATGAAGTGTAGGGCTTGAGCATTCAATCATTCATTGCACAAATGTTTATGAAGGATTTGCTATGTGTTAGGATCACAGAAGCCGGTTGGAACATGGATTGGCGGGTAGGACTCCTTGGGGGTGTGATTAGAAATATAGGTTACAGGACCCCATTTTTGTAGGTTCTTATTCATCAGGTTTGGGGTGAGACCTGAGAATTTAATTTTTTTTAAAGATTATTTATTTGAAAGAGAGAAAGAGTGAGCTTGCGAGTGGGGGGGGGGGGCAGAGAGAGAGGGAAAGAAAGAATCTCAAGCAGACTCCCTGCTGAGCGTGGAGCCCTATGCAGGGCTCCATATCATGACCCATGAGATCATGACCTGAGCCGAAATCAAGAGTCTGGTGCTTAACCAACTGAGCCACCCAGGTGCCCCAGATATTTGATTTTTTACACTCTCTAGGTGACCCTGATGGTCAGGCCAGCTAGGGCACTACTGCATGAGCCAAAGGTCCACCCAATCCTGGGAGATCCTGCCTCTCTGACATCAAAGGGTACCATCTGTCGAAAGGATGGATGCTTATTCCAGTGATGTTGCTACTGGGTGGACCCTCTGTGGAAATTGCCTCCACTGTCACCAGCCAGGGAAATTGGTTCCGTTTCCCCATTTTATTTGTAGGAAATCCAAGGGCCAGAGGAGAAGAGAAAACATTCTCAAGGCCATTTAGCCAGGTGGGCACAGAATTCCAGTTCCAGTACTCTTCTTCCCCAGTCTCCTAAATGGGACTCCCAGGCTGATCACTTTTCATAATTCACTGGACTCTGCCCCACTAGATTTTCAACTGCATTCAATAAGTGCCCCCCCCCCTCCCCAGCCTGTGAGCTCCATGAGGCCAAGGGACATGTCTGTCTTACTCACTGCTGGGTCTTCGGTGTCCTGGCCCATGATTCATACCCAGCCAGTGTTTCTAAGTGAATGAATGAGTGAAAGAGTGAAACCCCAGCTGAAGGTTCAGAAGGTGATGTTCCCAGTGGGGATGGAGAGCGACAGTCCTAGTGCATAAGATTACAGGCTCAGGAGCTTATAGATCTGGGTTTGAATCCCCCTTGATCTCTGAGAACTTTGGACGCATTACTGAACCTCTCTGAGCTTTGCTTTCCTCGTCACTAGGAGGGGAATCAGAATACTCACCTATAGTATTTGTTTTGACTGAACGTCATAATATATATCCAGCGCTTAGCACAGGGGCTGACACTTGGGAAGAGGGTACTCCATAGATCCCTGCTGCTAGGAGGACCATGATCATCATCATCATGCTCATTTGGAGCTGGGTGTCCTTTTAATCCTCGTGGAAAGGAATTGGCCACTTAGCTCCTTCATCCCTATCCTCCCGCCTATCACTGGGGCTGTCAGTCATTCTTGCCAATCACCCAACAGTGCCCTCCTAAGCTCCACCCTGTGGGCGGGGCCTCCCCCTTACTGAGATAGGCTCCTAGGTGATTTTTACGTCCTTCTCTCTGCTTGGTTGTATTTGTTTAAAGTTCTACAATAAGCATGTATTATTTGTATAGCAAGAAAAAAGAAAACTCAAACAAGGTAAGAAAAGCATAACAGGGGCATATCCCTGCCTGCTGCTTTCTTCCTATTCTGGAACGGGGTAGGGGAAGGACATCCTTTGCTTTCCTTCTTTACTAGCTACCAAGTTATGAGAAATAAGAATGATCATTATTTACATTTCTTCACCTATGTTCAGCATTATTTCATGCTCCACACTGTGCTCACTACTGGGAAATTGCATAAGAACTTTAAAAAACCAGCTGGTAAGGAAGGCGGGAATGATTAACCCATTTATCAGGTGAGAAAACTGAAGTCAGCCCAGGGTGGGTGGTCAGTCAGTTGCACAAAGCCACGCGACTGGTAAGGAAGAGAAAGGGGTGGCGGGTTTACCCTCAGGCATTTTGGTGCTAAATGCAGTGTTCCTTCCTCTGCACAGTGTGTGGGCGGGGGTGGGGGGCAGTGGGCTGAGGGTGCTGAGGACGAGGTGGAGGTTTGCAGGGGGAGAAGCACATCCTGGGATGGCTGCAGAGGGGATCAGTGGAGTGAGAAAAGGACTCAGGGTTATGAGGTTCTTCTGCCTTTCGTTGCAAAGGCTGCTTGGGAGCTGTGGGTTTCCAGGGCTGCCAAGGATGGCCTCTGCCATGTCCCTGCTGTGTCGTGTCCGAGGAGGGGACAGGGGTCTGGTACCAGGCTCAGCACCCCTCCCCCCAAGTCCTGCTTGCGGTGCCATACCCGTTTCTCAGCCTCCCAGGTGTCCATGACCACGAGCGTTGTGTCCTCTCCATCCACTGTGAGGGTCCTCTCGTACACATCTTCTGCAACCGAGGAAAGAGCCAGATCTCAGGGAGGAGGGGCAGTGTGAGGACGTGGCCCCCCGAGTCCCCTTTCTGGTCACAGTGCCCCCTCCAGTTGTGTTGGAAGTGCTCACCCCCTTGTTTGATGTCTGTCTCTCCTGATAGTTCAAGAAGCTCCACGAGGAGCCCATGTTTCCCCCGCTGCCAGAATCAAATAGTAGGTGCTGAGAAGGCTTTTGCTAGTTTGGTTTATTGATGAGTGTGGATGGTGGGGTTAAAGCTGGGCTGGGAATTCTCCCAGTCCCACTCTGTCCCTGACTTAGTGTATGCTTCAGGCAGGTCACATTACCCTCTTTGGGCCTCAGTCTCCCCACTTGTCACACCTACAGGTGCACATATGTACACCTTTCATCTAGGCTTCTCACACTCAGAGGGGTCAAGGCTAGAGAAGGGGCCTGGCAGAGTGTCCCCACTTTCTCTTTGCTTTTAACCAACCTCCCTCTGCACTCACCCTGTGTCCCCTTGGCTGGTCCTTCAGGAACCCATCTTCATTTCCTCTGTCCTATCCCTGTCTCCCCTCATCCTGGAGTCCCTGACCCTCTTGGCTCACTGCATCTCTCAGGAATAAGGGAAACTGGGGAGTCTCCTTCTGGGGCAGGATCTTAGCTTTGCTGCAGGTTGTTGGTGGCCATAGATGGTTGTCTGGAGCTGGGAGGATCTGAGAGTCAGGGGAAGTTGGGGCTGGGAGTTTCTGAGTGGGGTGGAAGCCTACCATTTCTTTCCACTTGAGACTCATGGAACTCAGAATTGCTTCCCTATGACATGGAAATTAATCATATACCTCATCCATGAGAAATTGGCAACCTTCTCACTATTCAAGGCATTTCCCTCCTGTAGACCATTGTTCTGGCTGTGCCCTGCACCACTCGGGGGGGGGGGGCACACATCATTCATTTCATAGTCTATGTGAATGATGCCCTTTAGAGTTGAGAAGTGTGAGTTGCACAACTCTTCTTGGCAGCCTTGTGCCCCTGACAACAGGGCTTTCACTCCTTTGGCCACATCCCAGCCCAGCCCACAGGGTCCCTACCTCCCAGCTGTTCATGGAGGTCCCGCTCTTGCTTCCCTGCAAAGAGGCTGGCCAGGCTGGTCTTCCCTACGCCAGGGTCTCCAAGCAGTACCACGCGGTAGAGGGCCTCCCAGGAGCCTTCAGAGTCACTGGATTCAGAGGACCAACCATTGGGCACAGGTGAAGGTTGCTGGGTGGGAGGATTGAGGGAGGCTGACTGGCCCAGCCGGGGATGCTGGGATTTTGTGGAAGGTGCTGTACACAGGAGGCCAGGCTGGTGGCCCCGGGGGGACAGGGGCAGTGGAGTGCTGGCTCGCCGACGGAGGGGGGTCTTTGCTTCTTGCTGGGTGTTTAGTGTCATCCTTGGTGGGGAGGGGCTTTGATCCTTCCTTCCTTCTGTAAGCAAGAAGCAAGAATGGGCAGTGAGCCAGGCACCTGTGAGCCCCTTCTGCAGGGTCCAGATGAGCTCCTGAGAGGACTTCCTCCAAAACCTTCTCTTGTTCAAATGACAGGAGGAGGCGCCTCAGTTCCTTGGGGTGGGGGCTTCCTGGCTTCCGGGCCAGGCTGGGAGGGGTGACTATGCAAGCTGCGAGCACGCGCATATGCACACCCACAGGTCGCTTCCTCTGCCGTGAGGATGACCCAATACCCCAGGACACACGGACAGAGACAGACAGAGGGGCAGCAGCGAGGTGGGATGTCCATACAAGCATGCACACACCCGTGTACAGACGTGCCCCCCCCCCCATCTGGAACATGGGACCCACGTTCTGAAAGGCGCCTGAATTGCCCCTGTCCTCCTCTTCCCCACAGCTCTCTTCCCCAAGGTTCAGATCGGGGTTGGAGGGTTGAGGGCCCCTGGGAGGGGGTTCACTTCCGCTGCCCCATCTCCTGAGGGCTGAGGAAAAGGCAGGACGGAGCGGGTTGGTATTCCGAAGGGTGAGCAGAGTCTGGGGGTTCCCTCGGCTGTAACCCGAGCGCCCTGGTGCCATGGGAACGACGTGTCCGGCCCGCCCCCTACGTGAAAAATTCAGGAGAGGCTGGGCGACGGCCTCCAGCGGCTGTTGTAGGGGGGTGTCGAGGCAGCGGGGCCCAGTTTTGGTGACAGGACAGGGTCCTGGCGGGGGGCGGGGAAGGGACCTACAGGGCCCGGGGGCGCATGTGCCATTCCCAGAGTCTGAATCCGAGCTTCCCCCACCCAGGGTCCTGGGTGTGAGTCCCCCGATCCCGGGAGGGCTTCTTGTCCGAGGCTATCCAACCCACCAGGCCCCAGGCCTGAGGACCCTCCCCCCGGGACGCGGGTTCGAGGCCTCCCTCGTCCTTGCCTGCGCCGCAGAGCCCCCCATGCAGGCGCCTGGCGAACTCCGCTCCAACTCGACTAAGTTGGCGGCGGGCTGCGCGGGCCTTTACCTCGAGTGGGGAGGGGTCCAGGGTCCCCGGCCGCCGCAGCTGCCGGGTGCTCCAGGCTGCACCACCGCCTCGGCGCGCAGCCCCTCGGGCCAGTCCCGCCCCGCCGCCTGGGCAGGGGGAGGAGCCGCGACCCCGCCCCGTCCAGCCCCGCCCCGTCAGGGCAGCCCCGGGGTCCCCGCCCCGAGGCCACGGCCGCCCAAAGACTTTTCGACTTTTCGCAGAGCTTAATTGACCCACTGCCGCAAGGCCTTCGCCTGGGGGGGGGGGGTGGCAGTGTCGGGGTGGTGGTGGCAGTGTCGGGGTGGGGAGCGAGAGAGAGGAAAGAAGGGATTTCTGAATTCCCGGGTCTGGATCCCCTCTGCATCCACGCCAGCAACGGGGCGCACCAACTTTAGCCCTCGCAGAATCCACCTGGGGAGCTGGTGGACTGTCGATTCCCCGGTCTCACCCTTCAAGAGCGGCGGATTCAGCCGTTCTGGGGGAGGGCTTCGGGAATCTGCCTTTTAAACAAGTGCCCAATGATCTTGCAGAGTTCATGGACCCCACTTTGAGAAACTCAGCTCTGGATGGAGAATTAATTTTGGGAGGTGGCTCCAGGGGAGGAGGGAGCCTAGGAAGTCTGCACTGAAGTCTTCTGAATAACTGATTTTGGCATCCCATTCATTCATTTACCAAATTCTAAGTTAAGCACTCTTTATGCAGGGGGCGGCCCTGTGCCTAGAAGAATGGCTGTCCCCACTCTGATAAATATTTACTGGGTATTTGGGCTGTGGCTGGTATGTTTTGAGCACATTGCCTGGAGTATTAGCTCATTTAATCCCGGCACAACACTAAAAGGCTGATTACACTGAGGCTTACCTGGGTCTGGGACTCAGGATTCTGCCGCTCAGCCAACTGTCCCTTTCCATCACCGCCCATGGCTTTTAAAAAAAAAGCCTTCCTAGGCACTCGGAGGAGGAGAGACACACTGTGATCCTGGTAGAGTAGGGCAGTTGGGAACTGGTGATTTTGGCCATCCAAGGGGCCAGGATCCAGGCTCTTTGAGCAGGATGCTTCCTTTGAGGTCTTGAGGGACCGGGGTGGGTTTGTATGTGGGCCCTTGCAGACCAGGCTGTACCTGTGGGTGGGGTTCATTGTCATGGCTGAGGGGGTCCAGGTGTCCAGCTCAGAGCAACTCGCACAGTAGCCTGTAGATGAGCTCAGCCTCCGCAGGGCTGGGGGCAGACACTGAACCCCCTCACGCCTGGCCTCCTTCTGTGGTTTGGCCTTCTTGGCATCCCTTTCCTACCCACAAGATGGGTTGTGACTGGTATCATGTCACACATTGTCTGGGAATGAGGCAACTTAGCTTCCAGTCCCAGCTCTGCAGCTCAATTGCTGTATGGCTGGGCAGTCCCCCACATAGCTGGCTGAGATCCAGCTGCATCGTTGGGATCACAGAGCCTCCGCCTCCCTCTCAGGTCTCCTGTTGCCCACACTCCAGCCTTGATCTGCAGCCTGATAAAGGTTGGGCTGCAGGCAGCAGAGCTCAGTATGCCCGGCTCCTCTGGTGTTCTCCCCAGTGACCTCCCCAGAAGCCCTGTGGCCATGACACAGCTGCTTCTGCTCATTGTGGCTCTCCTGGCCCTGGGTCATATGCCTCCAGGTAACCAGCCGTGTGTGTGTGTGTGTGTGTGTGTGTGTGTGTGTGTGTGTAGAATGAGGAATAGCCTCCCAGGTTCTGGAGGACAGAGGAGGCCTAGACCAGTGTACGTGTTCTGGTCCCACCTCTGACTTGCTGGGCACCTTAGGGCAACTTCCTAAATCAGTCTGCACCTCAGTTTCTTAATCTTTAAAATGGGATTCACTCAACAAATACTTTTTTGAAAAATACTTACTGTGGGCCAGCACCATGACAGCTATTGGGGATCCAGCAGGGAAAGTAAACAAGGTCCTTGCTTTCATGGTGCTGATATTTTAGACAGAAAAGAACCAAATAAACACAGTATGTCAGGTGGTGATAAGTGGTGTGTGTCAGTGTTGTGTGTGCTCGTGGGAATGGTGGATGGGAGAGCTGATGGGGATGGTCAGGGGAGGCCCTGTGTAAGAAGTTGTTTTTTAAGTTTGTATTTTGAACAACTTGAAATTTACATGAAAGGAGAGAGAATAATATAAGGAACAAGGTGAGTTTTTTTTAAAGCATGTTATTGTAGAAAAATATAAATTTCTGCAAACATAGAGAATAATGTAATGATGTAAGTTTTTTTTTTTTTAAAGATTTTATTTATTTATTTGAGAGAGAGAATGAGATAGAGAGAGCATGAGGGGGGAGGGTCAGAGGGAGAAGCAGACTCCCTGCTGACAGCAGGGAGCCCGATGCGGGACTCGATCCTGGGACTCCAGGATCATGACCTGAGCCGAAGGCAGTCGCTTAACCAACTGAGGCACCCAGGCGCCCCTGATGTAAGTTTTTAAAAGAAACCTTTTTATTTTAGAAAATGTCAAACATAAATTTAAAAAATAGTATGAAAAACCCCCGTGTACCTTCACCCAATCTCAACAATTGTCAACTTGAACCAGTTTTGTTTTAGTGACCTATCGTGAAGTCAGTCTCAGGTATCTTAACTATTTTGTATAAGGCCAATGTGAGCAGAGATCTAACTGCAGTGAGAATATTAAGAAGATCTTTACAGGGACCAGGAGGCAGGAAGGTGACCGATGTGTCTGAGGAGCAGTGAGGAGGCCAGGATGGCTGGAGTGGGGGTGCACCAGGAGAGAAGACGAAGTCAAAGAGATGAGGATTGGGGGGGTGGTTACAGGTCATGTAGGAGAAAATAGCAACTCTGGGTCTCAGGGTCATCAGAAGGTCGAAATGTGATGATGTGTTAAGAGGAGTTATAGGAACTGCCCTTACCTGGGAATCAGGGTCTTGGGTTCTGGTTGCAGAACCCACCACTTACTGGCTAGGAAAAGCTGGGTAAGTTGCTTCCTTTCTTGAGCTATAAAAGGAGAGGTATGGCTGCGAATGAGCCCTGGTTGCTCTACCCTCTGTGTTGTCATTCCAGTAATCTCCCTTTCCATTCATTGGGTATTTACTATGTGCCAGGCATTGTGCTAGAGTGATTAAAGCCCGTATAACTGCCTCCCTGAAAGGGGGGAAGTTCCACAGAGGAGGAATGTGAGGCCAAGGTCACTCAGCTGGGAAATGGCAGAGCTGGGATTTGGACGAAGGTGGTCTGAGCTGAGTTCGAACCATGCCGCTAACCATTATACACACACCTTCTTCAGAGTGTGGATCCTTCGCCTTGTAGAGATTTTGAGGCCAGCTCTGTCTCAGGCTAAGATTCTCTATCTTGGCAGGATGGAAGGATGGCTGGTTGATAGGGCAGAATAACATCCATGGGTCGGCCCATTGTGAGGGTTCCATGGGATCTCTCCCTCTCTCTTTTATTTATTTATTTTAGAGAGAGAATAAGAGAGCATGGGGGGGAGGGGCAGAGGGAGAGGCAGAGAGAGAACCCCAAGCAGACTCCCCACTGAGCCTGGAGCCAAACACAGGGATCATGACCAGAGCCAAAATCAAGAGTCGGATGCCCAACTGATGGAGCCACCCAGGCGCCCCCAAGGGATCTCTTTTAATCCAGGGAGAGGGAGGGAAGCCTTTCCCCTCCACCTCCCGCTCAGCCCCGGATCTTCAGAGGCTGCTCTCTGCCCATCTGGGTCACATGTCTAGAAATATTGCTGTAACAGACAGACCTACCCGAGTGGCCTCTCTCCTCATATTTGCACACCTGTCCTAATTGGCCATCACCACATCTTGATGGTTTCCTTCGGGGCGCTTTCCACAACTCTACTAATTGTATTTATTTGCTAGGGTTTTAACTGCCTTTCCTTCTGGAAGCTCCTTGAGGGCATGGACCTTGGCCCACCTTGTTCATTGTGGTATCTCCAATGTCCCATGTTTGCTGAAGGAATAAATGAAGGAGATGCCTCGTGCTGTGACTGAAGACCCTTAGAGGGGGTACAGACCTGTTCCTCCGAAGTCCTACCTTTTCCATGGCCCATGGCTAGAAATTCCTCCACTAACATTAAACACGTTCCTATGTGTGCAAAGCAGTTTATGTCATGGTTACCAGTGAGGACTTGAGAGTCTGATTACCTGGATTTGAATCTTGGTTCTGCTCCTTAATGACTATAATCTTGGGCAAGGTTGTTAGCCTTTCTGTGCCTCAGTTTCCTTACCTTGTATTATGGGGATCCTAATAAGACCAACTGTAATTGTACAACATTGTGTTGAAAAGGGCTTAGAGTGTACCTGAGCAGGGAGTGAGTTAACCTGGACAAGAAATTAGTTTCCAGGGGCGCCTGGGTGTCTCAGTCGGTTAAGCATCTGACTCTTGATTACGGCTCAGGTCATGATCTCTGGGTTGTGAGATGGAGCCCCATGTCAGGCTGTAAGCTCAGTGTGGAGTCTGCTTGAGATTCTCTCTCTGTCTCCCTCTGCCCCCTCCCTCCACTTGCTCTCTAAATAAATAAATAAAATCTTAAAAAAAAAAAAGGAAATTAGTTTTTAACTTATAACCAGTGGTCTAACCTGTGACCTGTGGACTAACCCGGACTGAAATTGGTGGGCTTATTTGTAACTAGTTGTCTCATCTGTGACTAGGGGTCTAGTCTGTTCCATCTGCTCTAACCCCTTGACCTGTGGTCAGAGTTTGTGTCCTTTGGCCTAAGTTAGGACCTGTGGGCTGTTGTATGACCAGTCATCCAACACAATGACCAGAGAGCTAACAAAAGACCAGACTTGTGATCTAATGTGGGTCCTGTGGCCTAACTTGTGGTCAGTGGTTTTATCTGTGACCTGTGGCCTAACCCTTGATGTATGGTCAAAGCTGTGAACAGCGGTCTAACCTGCAACCCATGGGTTGCTCTGTGACCTGTGGTCTTCCTCTGCACAGGGAGAAGTGAATTTAAGCGGTGCTGGAAGGGCCAGGGGGCCTGCCGGACTTACTGTACAAGGCAAGAAACCTACATGCACATGTGCCCAGACGCCTCTCTGTGCTGCCTCGCCTATGGAACCAGGCCTCTGGCCTCCAAGCCTGCATATGTGTAGCTGGTTCTGGGGCTTGTACCCTTGCTCTCCAATAAACACTTGCTGCACCTGTCTCCTCTTGCTGCTTGCTCACCACCCCCCCAACCCCCGCTGTGCTGGGTGTATGGCGGTGGACGAGGTCCTGGTATGGGAGGGGTGGAGGGATGGTCGCTGGAGGGAGGTGAGGCGTCCGGGGCAAGTGGGTATTAATGACCTCGGTAAATGGTTACAGGCCTGCCTATAATATCCCTTCCACTCTCTCCAGCTCTGGAAAAATTACTCAATCTCCGTAAGCATCCTGGGTCTTCTTATCCGTAAAATGGGGATAAATTATAATATCAGGAGAACTGGACTTTACAGAAAGAATGCAAAAAGGAGATTAGAATTAATAGTAACAATATGAGTTAATAATAATAATGAGTTAATTATAGTAAGGATGAATAATGGTAGAGTTAATACATTTTGGCATTTTGAAAAGCAGGCCCTGGAGAGCGACAGGATTTCTCTATGTCCATTTATCTCCTATTTTAGCATTGTAAGGGCTTGCCCAGGTGGAAAAGACCACAGGATTTTATGAAAGCAGTTTTCATGTACACAGGGAAAGCAGAGAGAGAAGTGGGCCTCGGCCAGACCCAGGGAACTGTGGGCAGGGGAAGGCAGGGAGAAAACGTGAGCAGAGTCAGGGAGGTAGGCTGACAGACTCACATGCCAATTACCCTGCATCAGGATTACATCTGGCTGAAAAAACAGGTAGCTCAACTTGCAGGGGCTTATCTGGAGTTAGGCAGCAACCGCATCAGGGCGAGCATCTTGGGATCCTGCTGGGCCCCATATGGCTGCCAAAACTTCAGGCTCAACATCATTGTTTAAAGCAGGAAGCAGGGGCAGGGTGGGATTGAGCTAGTTTCTCACTTTTACCAGGAAAGCAAACATTGTCCCTGGAACCATCCTCAGCAGACTTCTGCCTCCTTTTCATGGGCCAGAGGGTTGTCACATGGCTACGGCTGGCCGCTCCCGGTGTCAGGGAGGCTGGGAAGAATGTATTCGCCCGGATAGTAGACAAGACCTGGGGGTGGGGGAACGGAGATGGGGAAGACCCCCAGTGTTGACCCACCTTCTCCTGGGGTAGAGCCCAGGAAGGGGCAGGCATGTTAAGTAAGTTGAGGGGAATGCCAAGGACAGAGTGGCTCTTTTCCACTGTCCTTTGAGACTTTTCAGAGAAGTCCAGGGTAGTCTTGGAGTAAGAGAAAGGACCCTGCTTGGCCTGGCTAAGAAGAGTGGTGATATTCAAAATACTTCACATCAGGAGGGGTGCTGAGTGAGTCTCAGGGCTGGTGCAGAGTCCTGGAGACTAGCTGCTGTGTTAACCCTTTAGTTTCTGGTATGAGAGGGACCTGGGAATGTGCCAGAGGCAGCTGGAGTGGAGGAGGGGATACTGAAGGGTCTTGGGCAGCAGCTCTTTGCCAACCAGGAGGGAAGCACTGAATTATTTTAATAACAAAGCATACCCCCTGAGTATCAGCCCTGCCTCTGTACCCCCCTTAATTTCTGGGTAATCTAGACATTGAACTGATGGCCACTGGGTCTGTTTTAGGACCCGATGTGGTGGGGATGAGGTGGGCTTGGTGTTGGGAACCTAGAAAGAGGACAAGATGAGAACCCCAGAGCCGGGCACAGAACCACAGCGAGCTAATGTGAGGTGGCGTTAGCCAGTGTCACCACTAGACCTTGATGAGTCAGCAGGAGGCCTGACCAGTTCACCAGCAACCAGCTGTGGCTAGAAAGCCAGTGGATGTTTTCAGTGACATCCAGATCCCAGCAGATGCCAGCCAGCAGCCCATCATTGAATCTCCTCACCCCTAGCTCAGCCATCATATTTGGGAGGAGTAGGGGGGGAGAGGAGGAATCGGGAAGCCTGAGCAATTATACCAAAGAGACTGAGTCTCTCCGAATTCAAGAAACCTCCAGAGGATATTTAAGTTGTTGAATTAGACCAAGTTTTAAACTGAAGTGAACTAAATTTAGTTCTGCACTCCACCCCTCCCCTCTGCGTTGTTCTACAAAGAGTGAGGAAGCTATGTTTTCTTTGCTCAGTCCCAGACATGGTGCGAGGGAGTCTGTGACCTTGTTGCTGTGCAGATGTGATGAGCTTGAGGAGTGAGGAGTCAGATTGAAGTTCATACGCCAGCTCTGCCACGTCTGGGCCATGGGCTGTGCGAACAGCGCAAGTCACTTCCTGCGTCTGATGTCAGAATCCTCCTCTGCAAAATGGGCGTCCTAGCTCTGAATGGGGTGGCTGTGGGGTCAGATGAGATCCTCTGGTACTTTGCAAGGGCTCCGTAAAGCTGTCTCTTCTCCTGAGCAAGAGGCACGCCACTGGCTGCCTTCTTCACACATTTCAGACTTAAGAAAATCTGCAAGAACAATGCAAAGAATTCCCATAGATCCTTCACCCAGTTTTTCCAAATATTAACATTTTATCACTTTTACCTTTTCATTTCTTCTCTCTCTCTCTGTATATAAAAAATATAAATATATGTGTGTGTATTTATCTGTATATCAGACATGATTCTCTTTATGCCTAAATACTTCAGTGGATTTTTCCTAAAAACAAAGACATTTTCTTATATAACCCCAGTATAGTGATAAAACTCAGGACATTCACATTGACAAAATTCTATTGTCTAATCTTCAGATCTTGTTCAGCTTTTACCAGCTCTTCCAAAAAAGTCCTTCACAGCAAAACAAAACCTCTGGATCACATAGTACACCCAGCTGTCAAGATTCTTTGATCCCCTTTAACCTGGAGCAGTTCTTCAGTGTTTCATGACATTGACGTCTTTGAGGAGTCCAGGCCGGTTGTTTTGTGGAATTTCCCTCAGTTTGAGTTTGTCTGATGTTTCCTCATGACTGAATTCAGCTTATGCATTTTTGGCAGGAATATTCCAGAAGTGATGCCGTGTTTCTCTCAGAGCATCATGTTGGAGGCAGCTATCACCCTTCACCCTTCTGGGGGCTGAACCAAGACCCAACAGTCTAGACAGTTTTTTTTGAAGCTCACACCTCACATGTGCAGGGCTGTTTCTGACCCAGCACCCTAACAGACCATCGTCTAAGCCTACATCCCACCTCCTAAGTCATACGGATGCACCTAACAGGCCAAGGAGATGAGGCAATTCTAGGGTGGAAGGTTCCTCAAGATACTTCACAGATGAGGCCCCCAAGCTCAGAGAGGGAAAGTGACTTGTCCAAAGCCACACAGCTCCCGAGGCACAGAGCCGGGACTTGGACTTAAATCTTTGGACTTTGGGTCAAGTCTTCTTCCGAGACAGAAAAATAACCACACAATGGAAGGACAGGCCATCATGAAGGGAAAGGTTTGGGAGGAAGAGAGCTCCCTGGCCCTGGAGGTATGCAAGGTGAGCTAGGGGGGTGGACAATGCTACAGAAGGGATTTTTGCTGTGTATTGAAGTACTATTTTGGGGTACAAACATTCATTCCCCAAAGAGTCACTGAATGGCTGAGCTAGTGATAACAATACTATCAATTGGCCATTAGTAAGGACCAACTGCTTTACACACCTTAGCTCATTTAATTCTCACAGTCATGGTACTATTATCCCCTCCTTTTCTAGAAGGCAGCTGAAGCTCTTAGTGAAGCGAATTGTCCAGGTCATACACCCAGTAAATGGTGGTGCTGGGCCTCCACTCTGGTCCTCTAGTGCTTGATTTTATCTTCCAGATTCACCCTTACTTGTGTTTTTTAAAATAACATTTTTTTTTCTAATTGTAAAAGTAATATATGTTCATTGGAGAGAACTTGGAAAACAGAAGCACAAATAAGAAAGCAAACATCATCAGTATTTTCACTATACATAAATACCCACAAATAAAATATATGTAAAATGTGATTTGCAAATAAAAAGGAATAAAACTGCACAAAATTTTTGGTGTTTTGGTTTTTTTGTCTTTGTTTTGTTTTTTACTTACCAATGTATCATGAGCATTTCCATATGTGCTTAGATAGTCTTCCAAAACAAGATTTTTAGCACTAAAAAGCTTCCCAAAATTTCTTTAAAATTTTCCAATTTTTATCACTTGAGTAGAGTGGTTAGAACACATTGTAGGAAAATAAAACATAGATGAGCTTCAAAATATTTACCATTCTTATAATCTGTTAGCTTTTTAAAAAATATTTTATTTTTATTTTATGTTTTTAAGATTTATTTGTTTGAGAGAGCGAGAGAGAGAGATCGAGCGCATGAGCAGGGGGAGGGGTAGAGAAAGAGGGAGAGAGAGAATCTTTTTTTTTTTTTTAAAGATTTTATTTATTTGAGAGAGAGAGTGAGAGAGAGAAAGAGCACAAGAGGGGGGAGCGGGAGAGGGAGAAGCAGACTCCCTGCTGAGCAGGTAGCCCGATGCGGGACTCGATCCCGGGACTCCAGGATCATGACCTGAGCCGAAGGCCGTCGCTTAACCAACTGAGCCACCCAGGCACCCCAAGGGAGAGAGAGAATCTTAATCCCTGAGATCATGCTCTCTCCAAAATCAAGCCAAAAATCAAAAGTTGGATGCTTTACTGACTGAACCACCTAGGCACCCCTAAAGATTTTATTTTTAAGTAATGTCTATGGCCAGAGTGGGGTTTGAACTCACAACCCTGAGATCAAGAGTCACATGCCCCTCTGACTGAGCCAGCCAGGTGCCCCCCTCCCCCCGTTAGCTTTTGTTACATATTTTCTCAGGATGGAGTTACCCATATATTTTTTAAAAAGTTAAAAAACCTGTTTGTATGTGTATATATATACTATTATATATCGTGTATATACTATTCATATATATAATATTAATACATAATATATAATATATATTATATTCATATATATACATGCTTTTAAAAAATATTTTATTTATTTATTTGAGAGAGTGAGAGTGAGAGGGAGAGAGTGCAGGGTGCTCAGAGGGAGAAGCAGACTCCCCGCTGAGCAGGGAAGCCGGGTGTAGGACTCGATCCTGGAACTCATGACCTGAACCGAAGGGAGTTGCTTAA